GCAGGCCAGGCCTGAACATCGGGCCTTTCATCTCCTGCTGGGCCCTCCTCACAGCACCTCCTTGCTTCCTAGAGCTCCTTTCCACGTTCCTCCCTCTTCCTTCCTGCCATTTGTGGGCCTCCCTCAAGGCGCACTTCTTCCTCCTGTTCCTGCCACGGACTCAAGCCCGTGCTGCAGGCGGCTTGGCAAGGCCCAGGAGGCTTTGTTCCAGCAGAGCCATGTGGTGTGGCTGGCCGGCTCCTCACCCCTGTGGCCTCCCAGCACTGCCCACTGGGCCAGGCTGGCTCTGCCAGGACACCTGGGAGGAGCCCATTGCTGGCTTGACAAGACGAGGTAGTGAGGCGGCCTGCCATGGTTCTCTGGAGAGTGGCCATGCCCTCACATTCATTCACAGATTCTGAGCAGCGGCTGGTGTCTAGGCGGCTGGGCCTGGGCTGCCTCAGCCCTGTGACAGGAGGCTGGGGGCAGTGCCTGGTACACAGCACCCTCTGCCTCTGGGTACTCTCAGCCGGCAAAGGGCCCGGAATCTAGAGCAGAGCTTAATGCTTATTGAACCAGGGTAAGCAGAAAGAACGGAGGCGCCTCCAGTGTGGTCCTGGAGCGGGGGGAGGGCAGGGCTGGGCCCCGGAGCTTCCCTTCTGCCCCTTCCCGTGCCCCGCCTCCGAGCAGGGAGGCTCCCCAGGTGCCCGCAAGCCCATCTCAGATGCTCGGGGGTGGGTGCAGGGCCTGGGCAAGACTCCAGCCTGGAGGACAGGTATTCTGTGGAGTGACTTCAACCTCCGGACACTCAAAGCCACTGCCCCGTGCACTGGGCACTTGGGCCCTCACTCCCTCCCAGCTCCTGTCCCCAGCCCCGGTCCGTCGCCCAGCCTTCACTCTCTGCCTTCCCTCTCTCCCAGGGCAAGTGTCAGCAGCTCCCAAGGCGACCTCTGCCCCCGGGTGGCTGCCAGTGGCCTAGTTAAGTGGTCCTTGAGTTTTGGCCAAGGGCAGGGCACTTAACCTACAAAAGCAGGCATTCTGGCCAAGGGTTTGGAGAGCAAATCGCCTCAGGGGAGCGCATTAATCATAATGAGCCCTTAAGGACTGAGCCTTCCTCCTAAGTGACCGGGCCATCTCTAAGGGACTGCCACTGCTGGTCAGGGGGGCAGCTGTGGTGGTCTCGGAGCGGGAGAGCTGGAGGAGGTTAGCCTTCAGAGCTTGGCTGAAGCCCAGGGCTCAGAAAAGCAGCTCCACAGCTCCCCCTAGGGGCGCCCTCTCTCAGTAAACAGCAGCCCATTCACCTTGCACTTCCACTGGAAACTCTGGAGTGTTCCCTGCCTTCCTCTTCCTCTCAGTATCACATCCAGTCCCCGGCAAGGGCAGCAGCTCTCCCTGTTGACATACCCGGATGTGCTTAATTGTATTTTCATAACGAAACACTGGAAACATACCTGTTCTGGTTCCCTAGTGCTGCTCTGACAAGAATATACCACAAATGGGATGGCGTTAACAAACAGGAGTTTATTCTCTGTTTGGGAGGCTAGAAGTCCAAGTTCAAAGTGCCAGGCTCTAGGGGCTGGGTGAAAGCCCCTTGACCTTGGGCTTCAGCTCTGCCTCTTGCTCCCGGCCCACTGAAGCTAGAGGCGTCTCTTCACCCAGGCAGCTACTGGCTGCCGAGGCTAACAAGCCCAAGGTCAACAAATAAAATGGCACAGTCCTGATATTACCAAACCACATAGCAGGCCATTAATTCAAGTCCATTGTAAGTCCCAAGGTCAGCAGAGCATGGCAGGCTGCTGAACAACAACACGGCAACATGCAAGGTCCAAGCATGCCATAAGCTAGAGACTGTTCCCAAAGCTGCTGCTTATATATGGGAAGCAGACCACATACCAAAGCAGCTACTCAGCTGCTTGTGGTAGATTCCACTGTGGAGCTGACTGCCAGTCTCATCATGGGGAATAACTACCACCAGCTGCCCAGCCACTCAACCAGGCCCAGCCAAGTTGACAGACTAACTACCACAATACCCAAGAGACCAACCGAAGGCGTCAGGACGGAAGAGAACAGGATGGTTGGAAGCAGGTGGAAACAAGACTTTTCAATGTGCATCTTTTTGTATAATTTAGGTTTTGAACCATGCGAATGTACAACCTATTCAGAAAAGTAGAAACTTATGCAAAAAACAATGAATGAGGCAAAACACAAATACATACATTACACGTCCACGCAGCTCAGTGAGTCCTGCTGTGGTCCTAATCCAAGCAGTCTTCTGGTACCTGGATTACTACCAGACCTTCCCACCAGTCTTCCTGTGTTCACTCCTCACTTCCCATCCACCTCTTCCCCACATCCTGGCCAGGATGGCCGTGGTCGGAAGGCACTCAGGTTAGCCTCCTGCTGACTCCTCCACGGACATCCCATGAGCCTCTGAATGATACGCACACTTTACCACTGCCCTTGAGGTCTTGGACTGTCTGGCCCCGTGGACCTTTCTGCCACTCCTGTGCCCCCATGGTCACCCCTCCACCTAGCCTCACCCATTAGTGGTCTTCTAAGGCACCTAGGGCCCCCACATCAAGGCCCTGAACTTTCTGCTCCCCTAGATAGTCACACTGCTTACTCCTTCCCGTCCCTCAAGTGAGGGCCTCCCCAGTCACCCAGTCTGAACTAGACATCCTCCCCTTTACTTCTCCTTATGGCACAGTGGTTAAGTGCTCAGCTGCTAACTGAAAGGTCATCAGTTGAACCCGCCAGCCGCTGTGTAGGAGAGTGATGTAGCAGTCTGCTGCTGTAAAGATTACAGCCTCAAAAACCCTATGGGGTAGTTCTCCTCTGTCCTTTAGGGTCGTTGAGTTGGGATCAATTTTACGGCAATGGGTTTGATTTTTGTTTTCTTTTAGCACCACCTGATACCTGACATTAGACTCTGTGCATACAGGGCCTTCTCTCTGCTCACAGCTATGTTCCAGCCCAGGTATCTGCTGACTGAACCGCAGATCTATGAAGATGGGGTTGGAGAGAAATCCTGGGATCCATTCTCTTGACTCCCAGATGGCTCCACCCCATTTCCCAAGATGGCGGAGCCCAAGCTCCTCCAAGGACCAATCTGTTTCCTCGCGGCTCAGAGGTGGGCGGGAAGGCATCACTGGAATGATGGGCATGCTGACCCACCGTCCCCGGGGTCACACGTGCACCTCAAATGGTCCCTGGAGCCACAGCCTGGAACTAACAATAACAGCTGATGTTTATGGCACACTTAATGGTGACATAGTGCCTAAGGCATTTGACTGCTAACCAGAAGGCTGACGGTTCAAACCCACCAGCCATCCCTGGGGAGGAAGACTGGGCAATCTATTTCCATAGAGCTATCGCCTCGGAAACCCAAGGAGGGGTCACTATGAGTTGGGACCGACTCCACGGCAAAGAGTTTGGTTTTTTGGTTTTGAGTGCATAAGCCCAGGTCCCTGGGTGGTGGAAGTGGTTTGCGGTCAGCTCCTATCCTAAAGGTTAGTGGCTCAAACCCACTCAGTAACTCCGCAGAAAAAAAGGCCTGGCGAACTGCTTTCATAAAGATTATAGCCAAGAAAACCCTGCTAAACAGCTCTACTCTGTAACACAGGGTCACCATGAAGCAACTCGACGGCAGTGGGTTAGTGCGGGCGCTAGAGGGCGCTGTTCCAAGAGCTTTGCACGGATGATCTCATTTAATCCTCAAATATCCTTCCAACAGCTCTTGGAGCTCGGTCCCACTATCCTGTTGACACACACCGGAAGGTGAACTGCCTGGCCCGTGTTCCTTCCACATGCCATTCCCCAGGGATAGACGGAAAGGGGTGCAGGCCCAGGGGGGTAAGCTGGAGTGGGCCCAGGGATGGGCTGCACGAGAAACACAGGATACACCCAGAGCGACATTTCTCTCCGCAGGGACACGAGGAAGAACTAGGCTTACAACACAAGGCAGCGACCTTTATCTTCCAAGCCTCTTAAAGGTATTTTATTTCTTTTCTTCTTTTTTTTTTTTTTTTTAAACCATGACACATTGAAAAAAAAAATTGGGAACTACAAAAAAGGAACCATGTCTTTTGAGTCCGTGTTCACATTGTCCCGCACCGTGGCACCGGGACTGGCCGGACACTCCACTGGGGCCTGGCTGGGAGTCTGGCCTCTGGGAAAGGCACCTGGGCGCTACCCCCGCAGGGGTTTCCCTAGACGCTCGGGTGCTGTTCCTCCCGGCCCCACTAGAGGGCGTCACCCGGAGCTGCCCTGGCTCCCAGTTCTCTATGGCCCCCAGAACTTCCCTTCCCCCAAACCAGAGTCAGGAGCTGGAAGCCTAAGGAACTTAATTTGGTCCCCACAGGGGACTCTTTCAGGGGCGGGGCCCTCCCCAGACCGCCAGGAGGTGACACCCCAGCCCAGCCCTGGGAGGTTGGAGTGTCTCTCCAGGCCGGCAGACATACCGTGCACTGGTTCTCAGGCCCGACCCAGGCCTCTCCCACCATGCCCCATTCCACCCCAGCAGGTACAGGAGGTGCAATACTCCCACCAAGCGCAAGAGGGCGCCCAAAGCCCCTGGCTCAGAAGGAAGGGCAAGGTGAGGAGGAGGAAGGCAGGATAAGGAGCTCAGAGCTGAGGCAGCCAAGTGGGAAAGAAAAGCGACAGAGAGCTGCTGGAAGGCACAGGGAAGGTTCCTCGGGCTCTGCAAACAGGAAGGGCGGCCTGGAGCGCGGCCAGCGGGCCTGGGCAAGGGGCCCAGGAGACAGAGGCCGAGGACGCGCCCATTCCCCCTCCCATCCCACCTCTGGGTACCACGGGGGCACAGGGCCAAGTGAGCTCAGCCTCGCAGAAAGGGACACATCCCACCGCACTCAGTCCAGCCCTCACGGGAGGGTGGGGCCCAGCAGCCCAGGCCCTGCCCAGCCCTGGCTCCCAAGGGCACCCCTCCGTAGGCCACCTGGACTGGACCCAAGGCCCCAGCCTCCCCAGCGCCTCCTGCCCCCGGCCCACCGACGCCCATGGCTCTAGTCTTGCTGTTCGTTCATTTCCATGTCGGACACCAGGATGTTTTTCTCTGTGACCTCGCCGGGGCCGGAGGAGCTGCGGCTGTAGCGCGCCCCCTCGAAGGCCCCACGCTCGACGCTCTTCCGCCGCCGGTAGAGGATCAGGGCGGCGGTCAGCAGCGCCAGGAGCAGCAGCACCGCCATCAGCACCGCCACCAGGGCCGCCGGGTTCTCCGGAAGCGCGGCTGCAGCAGGACGGACAGCGGGCCCGGAAGTCTGACCAGGGCCGGCAGCCCTCCCCGCCCCCGGCCGCCCGCCGCCAGAACAGGGGAGAGCCCAGGGAGAGTGCGGCTGCTCCCAGCCCTGCCTTTGGCTTACCTGATGGCGAGAAGCTGCTCTCCTCAGCTGCAGAGAAGAGACGGGAACCGAACCAGTCAGTAACAAGCAAACTCATACTTCTGAAGTGTCCCACTTTTACTTAATCTTCACTAGAGTCCCTAGGTAAGGAGCTCTGGTGGCATAGTGGGTAAGGCACTTGGCTGCTAACCAGAAAGTCAGTGGTTCAAACCCACCAGCTGCACCTTGGAAGGAAGATGAGGCAATCTCCTTCCATAAAGATTTATAGCCTTGGAAACCCAATGGGGGTGGGGTCATTGAGTTAGAACTGACGTGATAACAGTGGGTTTGGTTTGTTTTTCAGAGTCTCTGGGTGGTGATTGGTTCACACACTCGGCTGCTACCCAAAAGGCTGGGAGTTTGAGTCCACTCTGAGGTGCCTCAGAAAAAATGCCTGGAGATCTAGTTCCAAAAAAATCAGCCGCTGAGACCCTGTGGGGCCAGGGCTGCTCAGATGCGTGGGTCACCATGCGTTGGAGTCAACTCGACGGCTGCTGGTTGGTTTGTTTTAAAATAAATCTGTGAAGTAGGTACCATTATCTGCACTTCATGCATGAGGAAACTGAGGCACAGAGATTAAGTAACTCGCCCACTGTCACCAAGTTGGTAAGTAGTGGAGTCACAAAGTGAACCTGTCTGTGGTCTTGATCACTACAGAGGGCAGAGAGGTCTGCCTGGTCTGTTCACACCCTCCCACCACCATGCCCCCAAAAGACTGACAGGTGGCCCCTGACCTCAGCCCAGCACCGCATGCACAGGGCTGGACGGAGGCTGAGTGGGCCTGCCTGCTGGGGCGCTCACCTCGAGGGAGCTTGCAAACAACACCCATGGTGATGTTGGTGCAGGCACCAGGGCGCCACAGCCCGCTGCTGCTCTGGATCCAGTAGCAGCTGTTGTGGCTGAGCATGCTGGGGCCCAGGCCGGGGGGACCCCAGTTGGAGTAGTTCACGGCTGTGTTGTCCTGCCAGACCAGGGTGCCTCCTAGGGCAAAGGAGACCCGGTGGGCGTGTGGGGGAGGGAACGCAGGTGGAGCCGGAGGGAAGGAGCAGGCTGGTTCCAGAACCACCCTCCCCCACCCCAGCACGCCCTGGGGCGGGAGTGGGGGCAGCTCCCCTACAGCCTGAGGTCTTCCCCACACCCTGCCCACGGGGTACCCACCTTTGGGGTTGAAGTTCATGCCCAGCCAGGCACCCCGGCTCTGGCCCTCCGCGCTCTGCAGATGCTCCCAGATGAACACGTTCTCCATCTCGTCCAGAATGGACAGGACTGCCCCACCCGCTGGACACAAGGACGGTCCCGTCAGGGCGGACAGGCCTCCATGGGGGAGCCCCCTAGAGAGGCCCCAGCCCTCCTATCAGCCTGTGGGCGGATGGGTGTGGAAGCTGCATGTGGAGGCTGCGTTTGTGTGTAGGGGTGTGGTGACCCCTCCATCCAGCACACACCTGGGGGGTCCCTACCAGGTGTGAGTGTCTTCAGGCACCCCGGTCCTGCCCTCTAGGAGTTAAAAGCTGTCGGACAGGCAGACTTGTAAAGGCTTTGTGGTTACTGTCAGCTGCCACCCAGCCATCAGACACTCTTCACAAGAGAAAGACCCACTGCCTGGTCCTCACTACGCCCAAGGCCACTTGTGGATCCAGTCACTGTGATCCGTAGTTTTCTTTTCTTTTTTTTGAATGTTATTCATTTTGTTGTTGTTGAGTGATATATGCAGGAAAACACACCAGTTCAACAGTTTCTACCCCTACAATTTAGTGGCACTGGTTAATTCTTCCAGGTGATCAGCAGCCTCACCATTCTTTTCTGACTTGTCCCCCCCATAACATAAACTCAGTGCCCCCTAAGGCTCCTACCCAATCTCTGAGTTGCTGTTGTCAACTGGGTCCCACACGGATAGTTCTTTAAAAGCATAACGCTCAAGGGAGACCTTCTTTGCCCAGTTAGGCCAGTCTGGTGTTCGGGTTTATGACGATTGTAGGGATTATTTTTGGTTTAAGACGGTGTTGGGGCAATCATTTCAGGAGTTCATCTGGCCTCCACGGCTTCAGAAAGTCTAGAGTCCAAGAGAATTTGGAATTCTGTTCTGCACTTCCTGAACCCTTTGGATCAGGATTCTTCTATGGAATCACTAATGACAGTGTTCAGTCCTGGCAGCCGGGCCCCATCCAGTTCTTCCGGTTGCATGGTAAGGGAGGCCGTTGTTCATGGAGGCGATTAGCCACACATTCACATCCTCCTCTGACTCCTGACTCTCCTCCTCTGCTGCTCTAGGTGAACAGACCAACTGTGCCTTGGATGGCTGCTTGCAAGCTTTTAAGACCCCAGACATTAAGGCAAGGATCTAGGATGAGAAGCACTGAACATGTTATTAGGCCAATGAACCGGGATGTCCCACAAAACCATGCTCCTAAACCTCCAAACCAAAGAACCAAATCCCATGAAGCGTTTGATTATACAAAAGCAGCCTTTTTGTGGTTGTTGTAAATATATCTATTACACAACTTTTGCCGGTTCAACTTTTTACAGGTGTACAGTTTACTGACAGCAATTACAGTGATCAGCTGTGCAATCCTGCCCTTAATCAATGTGATTTGTCCATCACTGTTAACCTCTCTTTTCCCCCTCCCTGCTGTCCCTGATAATGACGAATGAACTTTGGTCTATAAACATTTGCCTTTTCTAGTCTTTTCATGTAAGTGAGATCATATGGTGTTTGTCCTTTTATGATTGACTATTTTACTTAGCATAGTATCTTCCAGCTCCAGCCATACTGTAGCATGTTACCAAATTCATGTCTTCTCCTGGCTGTGGGGGATTCCACTGTCTGTACGGACCACATTTTGTTTATCCATTCATCTGCTGATGAGCATTTAGGCTGCGTCCACCTTTTGGCTGTGGTGACTGGTGATGCAGCAGCCGTTGGCATACAAGTCTTTCTCTGAGTCTCCTTTCAAGCTTTCTGGGTATATACCTAACGGTGGAATTACTGGGTCATATGATAGTTCTATTTTCAGTTTTTTGAGGAACCACCACGCTGTTTTCCACAATGGCTGTGCCATTTTGCATTCCCACTAGCAATGGATAAGGGTCCAATTTCCCCACATCCTTACCAACATTTGTTATTTTTTTAAATCTTAGCCAGTAAGAATGAAATGGTATCTCAGTGTGGTTTTGATTTGCATCTCTCTGATGGTTTATGACGCTGAACATCCTTTCATGTGTTTGGTGGCCATCTGAATGTTTTCTTTGGTGAAACGTCTATTTAGGTACTTTGCCCATTTTATAACTGGGTTATCTTTTTGTTGGTAAGTTGTTCAAGTTTTATATATATTTTGGATATTAGATTCTTATTGGATATATGGTTTCCGAAGATATCCTCCCAGTCTGTAGCTTGTCTTTTTACTTTTTTGGTAAAATCTTTTGATGAACAAAAGTTTTTAATTTTTACGAGGTCTCATTTACTTATTTTATGCTTTTGTTATTCAATAACCCACGATTAAAACTTAGGCCCAACAGCGTTGTTCCTACTTGTTCTTCTAAGAATTTTATGGTTTTAGCTTGCATATTTAGGTCCTTAATCTATTTGGAGTTTATTTTTGTGTAGTGTGAGGCATAGATTCTGTTTCATTTTTGTGCATATGGAAATCCAATTTTCCCAACATCATTTTCTTTATCCATCAAATGGACTTCGCACCCTTGTGAAAAATCAGTTGATGGTAGATGTGTGGGTTTATTTCTGGATGCGGTGTAGTAAATTACCTGGTATGGCTTTTCTAGCCATAAGTCTTTGTAAACTCCATGTGGAATTTGCTGTGAGCCACTGAGGAGCTCCTGATTGTAAAAGTTATCCACCTGGAGTATTTCTGTTGGGCATGGCACTGCAGCAATGCTCTGGGAAGGTCA